GTTAAATGAGTGAATCAGATGAATTATTTCATTAAACAGACAGCTGAAGATGAACCTTAAACTCAGCATTACTCAGCTCTGTGCCAGACTGTTCATCAAGACTTTAAAAATTATTAATAGCACAACACGACAATGTGTACAGAAACTCTGTGAACCCTTTGAGAGATATGAGAAATGTTTTAAACAATATTTCACTATAGAAGATGTAAATTTTGAAGACACCACGTTCCTTCATATTACCTGTCTGAAGGTTTGTTGTGCCTGTCAAGTGACACCAACCCAGCTACTTTCTAAACCGACTTCCCAAAATGTTTTAAAAGAATGCATTAAAAAACAAGCCATTCAATTTATGAATCCATAACTCCAGTAATTTATTACCCAGATGAGAGCTCTGTAGCCTTCAATGGAATCTACAAAACCAAAGGAACTTTGTTTTCCTTTGTTGAAAAAAACCTTGAAAATTTTAAAACAATTGCTATAGACTCAAGAGGTAATTAGAGCAAATATGAGACCCCTTTGTTAAACCTCATCAAGACAATCCCATTAGCTTCCCATAGAAGTACTCAGAGGGTTATCTGGAAATCTCCCCTTTTCTCCTCACTGATACCTGGAGATAGACTAAAGGGTCTTGATTGATCAATAGACCCAGGCTCTGTGTAATACTAGAGTCACTGCTTCTGTTCTCAACTCACTTCTTTAAATTGTTCCCATCCTCAAAGCACATAAAATGGTAGAATGGATAATGGGAGTTTCTAATTGTGCTGTCACCACTTATACATCCCAGCCCATTATGTTACAAGTGAAGCCCCTTCTGGACTCCTGCTCCTTTCTACTTGTACTAGTATCCCCCCATGCATGTGTGCGTGCACACGTGTGTGTGTGTGTGTGTGTGTGTGTGTGTGTGTGTGTGTGTGAGAGAGAGAGAGAGAGAGAGAGAGAGAGAGAGAGAGAGAGAGAGATTGCATGCATATGTGTATGTATGCATGCATTCAGGGGTCTCAGCCCAGCCACAGAAAGCTGAGCTGGGTCCGAGGAAAGGTAAGTGTGCTGCCTGCCCATTCCCCAGCCTGAAAGATTCCCAGAGACAATCAGATGCAGCAGGGAGTCTAGCCAAGCAGGAATTCACTTATTGTCCCATAGCAAGTATCTTCTAAAGGAAAAAACTGCAGAGTGGGAAAACAGCCAGCCAATGGTTTTAAAGATCAGTCTAACATGTGCCTAGGTTCCCTTATGCTTTACCTAGTGATCATGAGCTGTTCGTGCAGTGACCTCATCTGGTTCAATATAGACAGCCAATCATCTTTTTTTGTAAACAACTCAGGACTCGCTCTCTTGACTTCTCCTCAGCACCATCTTTGACTGGCTCGTGTGCCCTACACATGCATGTGAGGCAAAAGGTTGTCCTGGGGTATGGTCCTCAGGAGCCATTCACTTTGCTTTATTGAGACTTGGTTTTCACTAGCAGCTGGGACTCACTGATTTGTCTAGGCTGATTGGCTAATAAACTCCATGGATCTGTGTCTTAACTAGGGTTTCTGTTGCTGTGAAAAGACATCATGACCATGGTAACTCCTATAAAGGAAAACATTTAATTGAGGTGGTGGCTTACAGTTTCAGAGGTTCAGTCCATTATCATCATGATGGGGGGTGTGTCATGGTGGCATACAGGCAGACATGGTGAAAGACCCCCACTATGCTTATTGCCTGCTTGAGCTGCTCTCATTAATTGCCAAGGTCAAGTTATGAGAAAAGTACAGGAGGGAACAAGGTGCTGCTCTCATCCAACACTAACCAGATATCTGTGGTCTGCAGCTTGGACCAAAGCAAGGTCAGCAGGACGGTATCCAGGATGCTGAGAGAGTCATAACTGAATTCTTTGTATTCTTTGTGCCCAACCCGAATAACCAACTGTCCTTGGTTAACTACAACTGCTACATTTAGATGAAACAATGAAATCCCTATAACCATGCTTCTGCTTTGTAAGCCTGCTTCTTGCCACCCCAACCCTATATAAACTGCCTGAGTTTTAACCTCGGCACGCTCAGTCCCCCGAAAGACTGAAGCGTCCACAGGTACCTGTGTAAACAATAAATAACCTCTTGCACTTGCACCCAGTGGTCTGGTCTCGTCTCTTGGGGGCAAGGGCCTTCCCCCCTGACAGGCTCCAAACTCTTGGGGTCTCATGGGGGTCTTTCAATGGTGGTGGAAAAAAAGCTTCTATGTATTGACATGCAGGCAATAGGAAGTGATCTATCTCCCTGGGTATGGCTCGAGCATATATGAACCCTTAAAGTCCATCTCTGCCTAGATACACTTCCTCTAACAAGGCCACACCTACTTCAACAAAGCCATACCTCCTAATAGTACCACTCTCTTTGGGGGCCATTTTCTTCCAAACCACCAAATCCCACTCCCTGACCCACAAAGTGTTGTAACCATATCATAATGAAAAAAGCATTTAGTCCAACTTCAAAGTCCCCATAGTCTATCATAGTCTCAACAATGTTTTAAAGTCCAAAGTTCAAAGCCTCTTCTGAAATTCATGCAATCTCTTAATAATAATCCTCTATAAAATAAAAATTTTAAAAATCATATCACATACTTCCAACATATAATGGCACATTTAAAAACATAGAAAAGGGAGCATACTGTGGAAATATTGAATCAAAACAAGAATAAAAACCATCTGGGCAAACTGCAAACTCTACATCTTCATGTTTCATGTCAAAATGCTCTCTGGATCTCCAACTCTGTCCATCTCTGTTGACTGTAACACACTTCTTTCTCCTGGTCTGGCTCCACTCACTGTTGGCAGCCTTCCTCAGCAGGTATACAATGACTCTGGCATCTCCAACATTTTGGGTTCTTCAAGACAATCCACACTTCATCTTCACTGCTTCATGCAATGACCTTTCTGGTCCTCCATTCAGGGACCGCCCTAACACATGCCTGGCCTCAGCAGCTTCCCTTAGTCATGGGGGCAAATTCCATAGCCTCTTTCTTTTATCCTTAACTTTAAAGCCAGAACCATGTGGCCAAAGCTGCCAAGTTCTGCTGCTCGCTGGGGCTCAACCATAGTCCCCTCATTCTATTATATCTTTACCAGCTTTCAGATTTTGATGGTCACCTTTATTGCCTAAGTTTGACTGTCCTTGAACTTGCTCTGTAGACCAGGCTGGCCTCAAACTCAGAGACCTATCAGCCTCTGCCTTCTAAGTGCTTGGATTAAAGGCTGTACTACCACACCAGGCACTAAGCTTTTCTATAGTTTCTTTTCACAAGTTGGAAATTTAGCTGAATGGGATCTTTCCCTGAGGGTTTCTTAATCCATTTATCTCCCTGAACCCAGGATTTATCTCTATTCTACTCCTTAGGGCTCCTTTTCTCAATCTGTGTTTTGTATTTTCATTTGCACAGCCTGCCTCCTTTCATTATAAATCTTCATTAGAGTTACCACTAGTAACCACACAACAGAGTCTATACTAAGTTCTTTTGAGATTTCCTCTGTTAATGAAATTAATCCAGAACTTTTCACTTTAGCCTTAGGAAGACTATTCGAACAAGGGCAAAAAGTAGCTGCATTCTTTACCAAAACATCACAAGAATGATCTATAGGTAACATACCAAAATTCTCCTCAGAAACCTCTTGAGCCAGCCCTCCACAATTCAAATAACTCTTAGCACGTCTGCCTTCCATGCTTCTTCCAGTATGGCCCATTAAGCAGTGCATAAAAGCATCCATCTGCTTTCATGACCCAAAGTTCCAAAGTCCAAATCCCCCCAAACAAAAACATGGTCATAGCAATACTCCACTCCTGGTACCAACTTCTGTCTTAGTTAGGGTTTCTATTGCTGTGAAGAGGCATCATGTACAACTTTCACAGTAATACCCCACTCCTAGTACCAACTTATGTCTTAGGGTTTCTATTGCTGTGAAGAGACATCATGACCATGGCAACTCTTATAAAGCAAAACATTTAATTAAGGTGGTGGCTTACAGTTTCACAGGTTTAGTCCATTATCATCATGGCGGGGAACATGGCAGCATGCAGGCAGACATGGTACTGGAGGAGCTGCTACATGTTGACATGTAGGCAATAGGAAGTATACTTTAAAACTGGACATGGCTTGAACATATATAAGACCTTAAAGCCCACCTCCACAGTGACACATTTCCTTCAACAAGACTTCACTTATTCCAACCAAGGTGCACCTCCTAATAGTGCCACTTCCTTTGGGGCCATTTTCTTTCAAACCACAACAATCCACCCTCATTTGTGTCAGGGGTATGTCACTGGATTAGGTAGATAATCCTTTTGGGACAAACCCTTGTTTGTCTCAGTGGTTTTGTTCAGAAGTAAGCAATGTACCTTTCCTGTCAAAATCAAGGGCACAGGAACATCTTACCACAGTGTCACTTTCAAATGTCAGGACTTCAGTGTCTAACAGAATCATGGAAAGACTGACTAATACAGTAATTCTATTATTAATAAAGGCACATTAGTCTTTAATGCTCCCATGGTGTCAAGGTCTGCCTTCCCCGAATCTCTTCTTTGTTTTTCTTTGTACATCTGGTGTCCTCTCACAGCACCACCAGAGAAAGTTGTATTGAACATGCACGTCTGAAAAGCCACAAACCCAAAGTGATTTAGTGGCCTCCTAAGAAACCTTGGATTATTATTAGTACAATAAATTTCTTGTTCTGCTGATGGCCCGACCTCCGCACTCGAAACAGTGACTAGCATGATAAACATTAATTTTTTTAAAATCAGTAAACATTAATGACTAAATAAACCAGTTCTTTCTGAGCACGTTTTAGGTCCGGCTAGAGTCCAAACTCTACGTTTACTCGCTGGCTCCGTTTTGAAGCTGTAGTCACTCCGCGCGAGGGGTGGGGCGGCCGGGAGCCACCGAGGGCGACAGGCCGGGACCGCTAGAGCCGACTGTCGCGCACGTGTGACGCAACGACCCCACGTCTGCGCAGACGCATTCGCCAAGGAACGTGGAGCAGAGGCAGCATGGCGGCCCCCGTCCAGCAGTCCCCTCAGCCGGTGGGCGGAAAGCGCAAAGGCAAGGCCCAGTTCCTGCCGGCCAAGCGGGCCCGGCGCTGCGACGCAGGCGGGCCGCGGCAGCTGGAGCCCGGCCTGCAGGGCATCCTCATCACCTGCAACATGAACGAGCGCAAGTGCGTGGAGGAGGCCTACAGCCTGCTCAACGAGTATGGCGACGACATGTACGGGCCCGAAAAGGTACCGGCCTCTGGGGAGAGCGAGCCGCCTGCAGCCTCTTCCGGGGGGGCAGAAGCGGCTTTTGCTTCGTTGCGCCTGTACAGTGCTTGCATGACCTCGCCTACCTTCCCACCCCCGGTGTGGCTGCTATTGAGGTCGCCTGCCTGGTGGCTGTGTACTTATGGGCTGGCTCCTTTGGGCATTTCTTAATTTCACTAATGACGGTAGCTTCTACGTATTGATTGCCTCCTGTGGACCAGGTAGTATGCTGAAGAACTTTGAGAAGTGTACCTCTTGCGACCATGTGAAGTTTGTACAAGCTAAAAACCTCTCCGAGGCAGTGGAAGTTTGATAGGGATGCCAGTTTTGAAGTGTACTTCAAAGTACATTTAAGAAAATAAAAACTTGTGAACCCCAAAGCTCATTCTACGGCAGTCTGGAAGCCGTGATATCATTAGCTTAGACTCGGAACACACCTGCACACCTTGAAGTGTGGAGAAAGATAGTACAGTAGCTCCCATTGTTTGAGAGGAGGGACCAGAATATGAATTTGCAAAGACTCCTTCACTGTGCACAGTTATTTTAATTACCTAATTGAAGTGAAACCCCCTTGGTGGAACAGATTGCTGGGCAGCAGCTCTTGTCTATGCTGGTGCCTTGTGCAAGTTTCTTTCTTTGTTGCTGTTGTGTTCCTTTTGTTTTTGAGGGTATACTTGGTTGGTTACCTCAGGCTGGCCTCAGTTTCCCACGTGTAGGGATTACAAATATTGCCCACTGTACCAGGCTTAAGCAAATTATTGACCTACTTCTGTGACCTGTTTCTTAGTAGAACAGGAGTAATGGTTTTAGTTGTCTTATGCATATGAATCTAATCTTACCAAAAGAGTATCCTGTCAGCCACAATGGTATGTAATGATGGTGTTAGTTCACTGTGACACAGGTCATCTGATGAACACATTGCCTGCCTGCTTCTGTAAAGGTATTTCTGAAACCATTTTCAGGTGACATATACCACACTCACGGGATTCATTTTGTAATCTATATTTTGAAAGTAATGTTATTTTAATCATCTAATTAAAACTGTTTGTAGTCAAAATTAAGACCTCTTCCCTTGGGGGTTTCACATAAATAGTTAATTATAGTGTTTGGACATGAGCTGTTGTGTCATTTTTGTTAATTGATTTTATGTAAACAGTTTATAGACAAGGACCAGCAGCACTCTGGAAGTGAGGGAGAAGATGACGATGTGGAGGCTGCCTTGAAGAAGGAAGTTGGTGACATTAAAGCTTCTACAGAGAAGAAGCTGAGAAGATTCCAGTCAATGGAGAGCGGAGCAAATAATGTTGTCTTCATCAGAACCCTTGGGATAGGTGTGTCTAAGTAGCACCCCTGAGATAATTAATCCCACAGTATCTAGGTATCTCTTTCTTAGCAGATACCGCCTAGGCAATGACTTCATGATATGGCTGTCAATGACTCTGTGATACATCTCCCATGTTCCATCAGTTGTAGATCAGTGCCTAGATGTTTCTGAAATCATTTTTAGGTGACATATACCTCATTTGGATAACTTTTTTTTTAACTCCACAGTTTAGAAGTGTGTTATTTTAGTCTTCTAATAATGTGGAGATATGGAAGGTAGCGAAGGTGGCGTTGGCTTAAGAGTGGGGACCTGGCTGTGCTACATCCTTCCTTTGTATGTAACTTTAATAGAATGAAAGTGCAAATTCAGTCGCAAAAGAACAGCTGCTATTTAGTACCAGTCTTAGTTTCCACTTAGGAATGAAGAGCTTGATCCAATTAGTTAAAGACCTGGAAATAGAATTCCAATGACTTTCAAATGAGATCACTAATTCAAAAATATTAACTCCAACGTCGCAGGCAGATATGTGTAGTTGGGAAGTAGCCTATGTCATAGTGTGCTACATGGTGCTGCAACTCTTTCCAAGCTGAGAGCTGGACTTCTGTGTGAAGTAACTAGGGGATTGTGTAAGTCTTCAAGTGATGTACAGAGTTTGTTTTTGTAAAAAAAAATGCGCTATATAGTGCTTGTTACTCAAATTTGTATTACAAGAAAACAAAAGTGAGGTATTATGGTTTATTTAAGTTAGGACCTCCCCAAAGCATTGATTCTGGAGACTATATCAACATTTATTTATAGCAAAAGCAGTAAAGATAATGAAAACTTAAAATACTAGATGTATGACAGGCACTAGAGAAATGTTAGTTGGTACAAACCTTGTTTTTTCCTGTGTCACTTCATCTTTTCTTTTTCTCTTAGAACCTGAGAAATTAGTACATCATATTCTCCAGGATATGTACAAAACCAAGAAAAAGAAGACACGAGTTATTTTGCGAATGTTGCCTATCTCAGGCACATGCAAAGCTTTCTTAGAAGATATGAAAAAATATGCAGAAACATTTTTGGAGCCTTGGTTTAAAGCCCCAAACAAAGGGACATTTCAGATTGTCTACAAATCTCGAAATAACAGCCATATGAATAGAGAAGAAGTTATTAAAGAGCTGGCAGGTGGGTTCTCTTAGTGATTTTTTAGGTGGGAGGCAGAGTCTCTAATAAAAAGCCTTTGCAAGTCAAAATTGGGTATTTGCGAAAGTACCATTATCTGCCTGTACCCATGGGAGTTTGGTCCTTATTCCCCTAGGATTGCCAAAACATGAAAGTGCCAAGGTAAGTCTTACATAAACTGGCTATTTTGGTGTAGTATGTGCATATAATCTGCACATACTCTCTTTATACTTTATATTGTCTTTGGATTACTTAGAATACTAAGTCTGATGAACTGTCTATGAAATAGTTAAAGTGTCTTGTTTATGGATAATGATAACTAAAAACAGTCTGTTCATGTTAAATACAGATGTTATTTTTTTCCCTAAGTATTTTGATTCACACTGAATTGGGTTTATGCACATGAATGCAGTGCCTACAGAGGCTGAAAATAGCCTTTTGAGCTAGAATTAACAGGTGATTGTCTAGCCTTCCAGCATAAGTGCTGGCAACAGATGGGTTGTCTACAAGAGCACTGCATGCACATAGCCACTGAGTCATCTCTCCACTCCCAACTGTTTTCTTATTAAATGTCTCAAGGTTTCATTTGTATTTAGTTGTTAAAAACAAAAGTATTAATGGAATTTGATTGATGGCTACATGGAGCAGTGACTTTTTATAAACCTGTTTTTTAACAAATCCCAGATAGTAAGGGATGAAAGCCTGTTTGATTCCATCATGCTTAATGATATCCTTCTGTCTTAGCCCATTTTCTGTTTTTGTTACAGGAATAGTGGGCAGCCTCAATTCAGAAAATAAAGTGGATCTCACTAATCCAGAGTACACAGTGGTAGTAGAAATCATCAAAGCTGTCTGTTGCCTGAGTGTTGTGAAAGATTATGTTCTATTCAGAAAATACAACCTCCAAGAGATAGTGAAGAGTGCAAAAGACTCACAGCCACAGCCAAAGCTGGGAAATGGCAAAGAAGCAAAATTGGAACCTGATGGCAAGTTGAATCAAAGTGAACCGTCAGATGGGAATAACCAGCAGGTGGCACCAGAGAGCAGTGAGGAGCCTGGGCAGAGAAAAGCAAGGTCTGAAACCCAGGCAGGAAGTGAGGGAGAAGATAAATCTGAACTTGAAAGTCAAGACTCAGAAGGACCCGAGTCAAAGGAAAATGAGCTCTCATAGGTCATTCTCTGGGGGGGGGGAGGGGGCGGCTTCAGGGTTCTACAACAAGCTGGGGTTCCATGTAAAATTGTGATAATATATAATATATATTTTGACTTTGGTGTGCTGCTTAATGCCTCTGCCTCCTGATTACTTTCTCTAGTTTCCCTTTAAGCACTGCCAGCTGATGTGGGACTGAACAGTATCTTAGTGAGAGATTAGCAGGACACTCATTCTGAGGAAGTTATGTGCTACCTATAGCTCAGCTGTCCCTGCCGTTTCATTGTACACACAGAAATGGCACTGTGGACTATATGGGTATCACTTTGTGATGGCTTTGTACTTTTTCTGTTTTTCTTGTTATGTTTGTGTTAATGTTAAGAAAAATCTGATGGCCCATGGCTGCAGTTTCTGTAGAAAAGATGTGAGGTAGAAGAGGACTGTTGTAGGTGTAGACCCATGGTGCTTCTGATAAGGTTAGGGAAGAAGAATCACTCTGCAGCGTCACTTCACATACTAGTACAAAACAACAAAACGCTACTACACCGGGGTTTCATTGGACTGCTGTGCAAGCTGTCCTCTCAGTTTGTCGAGCTTTCAAGAGTTCCTCACAGGTAGATAATGTGAAGAGTGGAAGCGACCTGTGAGTACTGAAAGACAAACAGTCCAGGCAGGGACTGCGAAGTGGCTGTAACATTGGGTTGGGAAAAAAGGTGGTGTTTAAATTAAGAAGCAATATAAATGCTTCGGTTCCTGGCACAAGTGGCTAAGTAAAGAACTAGTGACATGAGAATGTATTTATTCTCAGATAGCTAGAGGCTTGGTTTGTAAGCCAGACCACGAGGCTATGGGAGACGCAGAGAATAGGCAGCACCTTGTTAATGCATGTGGGGCTGGAACATCCTCCGGGGTTTCCATATGTTACCTCAGATTTGAGACTGAAACCGTCTTGTAAGGACATGTGTTAGTGTCACTTAGGGGGAAAGGGAGGAGAGAATCCCTGTGCTTGCTGGGAGGTTTGCTCTGTAATAAAGGGACTTTATTTTAATAATGTAGGACAAAGTTGCTCAGACAATAGTGTTCTGGAGCTTGGTAAAGTTGCTACACTTAGATTTTGATTTATACTTTGGTTTTGATTGCCTTTTTACTTGTGTTTAGTAAAACATGAGTGTGACTTTTTTTGCAAGTCATACAATGTGTGTCTTGGAGTAAGTTCACTTACTCATTTTGCTTTCTTTCAGATTTGACAACTTCATTTTCACTGACGTCTCATTGTGTTCTTTTACACATGATCCCAGGGTAGGAATTGAGTGGGGTGTTTTGTTTGTTTTTGTTGTTTTAAGCTATAGCAATTAAAACAGAAAATAAAGAAGCAGAAACCAGTTCCCAGTGTTGTGGGCCAGTGTATCTGTCCAGTTCTGCAGACAAAGGAGTTAAGCTTGGTACTGTAAGACATGTTTCTCCAAAGCTTCAAATGTTTTTACTTGCATTTTGTTCTTGGTACAGCTGAATGTTCAGGTTGTTTTCAAAGTTCTGATATTTTAAAAAATAAAAATGAATTTGTTCTATAAAGTTTGGCATTCTGTTCTTTATTTTCTGCCCCATATTAAATGGCTTTCTATGTGTATAGTATGTTTATCATAAAAACATATATATATGGATGATTATGTATCAAAAATCCAGGTTCATAGTCCTAAAATGTAAAGATATTAAAATTTATTCACAAATAATTAATTCTTAAGAAAAACAAATTTAAAATATTTTGTAGGATATACTTCAAACCAACACCAACCCCATACTGAATTTCATTAAACTCAGTAACTGGCCTTTGAGTCATTTATACTCCTGATTTGAACAGTTATTTTCTTTTTCTTGAGTGGGTGATTTCATAAAGACTTATCTTAAACATTTCTCTTGGGACAGTCCATCTTTATTTTGGATTAATCAAGACAAGATGAGTAAAGCACAGACTCATGGCATGCTGCTCTTTCTCTGGAGTTATCTGACCCTGGCCATTTTAAACAACATCTTTCTCAAATATGTTTTAGATTTTGGTTTTTTAGTACACAACAAAACAATTTTCAAACAGGAAAAAAAAATCATAAGGCATTTTAAGAATGAGTAGTCACCGAATTTTCAGGAAGCAAATACTAAAAGAGCTGCATCATTCCATAGTCCTGCCTTGTTCTTGTCCAGCTATGCTCGGCCCCACTCCCGGTCTCTCAACACATTGCGTTTGATTTTCCCAGTGATTGTCTTCGGGAGTTCTTGAACAAATTCCACCTAATTGACAGAAAAACACATCATGAGGCTCTTGGTTCCATTTATCTCACCCCATCTGTCCAGTAGGCAAACTCTGGCTAAGGAGACTCCCAGCTTTGTGTGTCCTGCCAAAAGCAAATATTCTCTTCACCCTTTCTTTTGGCTTTCCTCTGTTAGACCTAAGACTCAACTGCTTTCTATTATATCTGATTCAGAGAAAAGGTCTTAAAAAAAAAAAAAAAAAAAAAAAAAACTGGGTTTTTAAGAGCTTGGACCCAAAGAATCTGAAGAAAATCTTGGTGATTTATAGAGTAGATAGTTTTCACCTTACACCCTGACTTGCCCATGAACTTCCATCTTTGATTTCTTTTCTCAAAATAGTACTGAATCTTAAAATGTCTTCATATTTCTTTCAAAAGTCAAAGAGTTAGCAATTTAGTTATTTTAATGGAGAAAGTGTGAGTATGGTTGGATCAGATCACTTGAACTACATATTGGCCCAAATGTCAATGAAGATGAGATGGTCTTGTAATCATCCAGTGGCAGCTGAGATACCCCAGTGCTGTAAGATACCAGAGCATCTGTCTTTAAATGTGTTTGTTCTGTTCTTCATTTGAAGAAAGATTCAGGGGTTCTCTCTCTCATCTCTCTCTTCCTCTCCTTTCCCCTCCCTCCCCCTCTTCCTCTCTGTGTCTCTGTCTCTTTCTCTGTCTCTCTGTCTTTCTCTCCCTCTCTCTCTCTCTCTCTCTCTCTCTGTGTGTGTGTGTGTGTGTGTGTAGTACTGTGGTTAAGTGAGGCCACTTGGACATCTTGTGCTTATAGGGGTATCAGGGATATAGGGGTATCATAGCCTAGTCACCCTCTAGATCATGTGCCACTTCTAAAAATTAGGGACTTTGTGATTCTTCCATTCATTTTGCCCTTTTAAAATGGGCCCAATTAGTCCTGAAGACATTCTTAGTATTGCAGTAATTTTTTTTCATTTGTATTTCATTTGTATTCATGTGTGTTTTCTTTGCATGTGCACACCTATGTTTGGGTACACATGCACATGTATGCTTGTACCTGTGGAGGCCTGGTATTAGGGTCAGGGATCATCTTTAGGTACTCTTTCACCTTTTTTGGAGGCCAGGTCTCTTGATCAAACTGAAGAGTTCTCAGATATAGCTATTCTTGCTAGCCAGCTAGCTCTGGTGCTCTATCTCTGTCTTGGCCAGATTGCACTAGTATTCTGTCCTTGCCTTCTAAGGCTAGAATTATAGGCAGGTGGGCCAGCATACCCACTCTGGATTTGCATGAGTTCTGGGGTCCTCTCAGCATGGAATCATACCCCTAGCCCATGCAGTTTTAAGTTTAAAAAGTTCTTTTTTAAGATATCATTTGAAGTATCCTAAATATAAAACACTTAAATAGAAAAACTTTCATAGTAAACAAACTCAAAAGATTTCTTCTAAGATTCATAAGTGTAAAGTCAAAATCCAACACAGTAACAAAGGTAACTTGCACCTGCCTTTCTTGGGTATTTGTAAGGTGCTGTTGAGTTTTTCACATGATCCTGAAGTTCAGCAATTAACTTCTCACGGTTGGAGGACTTGAAGGGTGCAGCTAATACTACAAATGCTTTCACCACCTGCAGCAGAAAAGCAATTGGCTTGTAAGACACATCAAGGGTTTGGAATCATTGCCGAACACAGGCATTGACTGTTCATAGCAGTGCAAAACCCAGAGACGTTAATGAAGCTTGGGTAAAGATTATAAAGTACATCTTAGGATCTCTTTCCTGAAGAATGGACTGTGAATGTAGGGAGTGCTGAGTTCTGTTTATATCACATGAACTTAACATTTCTGCTCAGTTGATTTTATATGCAGTCCTTGATTTAGAGATGAACATTTATGGGATGACAGTTCTGCAATTAGAATCAGGACAAATGGAGATTCTAGAGAATATGTTCTGAAGGAGATCTGACAGAAATTACAGAATCAGGAAGGAGATTCTGTAAAAGGTTGTTGCCTCCTATTTTTTCCTTGGGCAAGAGGGTGCTGTTCAGAATACCCCTGGTATGTGAGAGGGAGGGACAGGAAAAGATGTGGGTGGGTACTGATAGCCACACTGATTCAACATTTTTCTGCTTGGTAAGTCTTCAGAAAACTTCCAGGAGGAATGGAAGATGTGCCTCCTAAATAGACACATGGGAATTTGGGAGGGGGTGGCTAGGGTATAATTTTCTGTTCTCACTTCTGTAAGAAATGTATTTTGAATTGTAACAGTTGTATGGGAGTTGAAATATGATACTCTTGCTTATGCAGTGTCTGTTCCCCACAGAACAGCAGGACCCAAGATGTCTAAGCATTATTTCCCTCACTTTGTTCTGGCAGGACTACCAGCACTTACCTCCCTTAATATCCCAGTAGCCAGTTAGCTACACCAATTGCAGAGTCACTCAGGGCTAGAGATGTGGTAGAATTTACTTGAAACAGTTGCAAAAAAGAACTCACTCCTTTCTGCTAGGGTGAGGATGGGTTGTACTTATTTGTGTCTGGAGCTGATTGCTAAGTGATGGGAAGAATCAGCATGAAGGATCTCAAGCAGATAAGGGACATTGAGTCTATATAACATCACAGGAGTGCTTGGATAAAGCTCAAATCCCTGAATTGAGGGGTGCTTCTGTCACAGACCACCCAAAGAGTCCTGGTCCTCTTTGGAATAGAACTCATTTGTAAAGTAGATTGCCTGCATGCATGTACCCTATGAGAATTAAGCGAGTGCCCCTGAGTTGGCCTTTGCCACAGGCATAAAAAGAACATGGAAATGAAATTGCTGCTTTCGTCCTGGCATCCATCCACTCTACCTCTCCTCGGATGGGATCTGGACTGCTGACAACAGCTGACTCAACTACTGCTGGGTGCTCTATCAGTGCGCTCTCCACCTCAAATGGCCCAATACGGTACCTATGGAGGAGAGGAAGCCTATGATCATTACATTCCCCAAGTAGGAGATCTCCCACCCTGCCATGACATCACTTTCTAAGAATAGCACATGTACAAACCCAGAGGATATAATGACATCGTCAGCTCTGCCGACAAACCAGAAATATCCATCATTGTCCATTACTCCTCTGTCTCCAGTGACATAAAAATTTCTTCTGATTGTGGCATCAGTCTTTTCTGGATTATCCTACCAATCAAAAATGACATTTGGGGGTTAAACTGAGCAGAACAGACAGGAGTATGACATCCACTAAGTGACTTTCATGTCATAGTGCTAAAAGAAGTCAGTGGTGTTTGTTGTTGTTGTTGTTTTTCTTTTTTATGGGCAGTTCCTATGATAGAACACAAAGGATATAAGATGTAAGAATAAAACCTCTCCTGTGAACTCCAGGGCCCGCATGCAACTCCTCCCTCAGCTGGTTCAGGGTTACCAGGTTCAGCTGGGTTTTTTTGTTACTCTCATGGAATGAATGTCATTCTCTCCATTTTACAGCTAATAAAATAGACCTGTATTTATCACTTGCCCAAGACATAGAAAGACATGGTGGGTATGAAATTTGGGCCCATTTCTGTACTGAGGCATGGCTAGCATGTTCTTCATGTTCGTACCACATATTCGGAGAAGAAGCAGAAGGGCCGAGTAGACTCTAGTCTGAGGGCAATTTCCCCTTCTTTGCCAGGTGGTAGGACATTTCCATTTTCATCTATAATCTGGGATAAAATAAACAATTTGAGTCTTTACCATCTTTTTCTTTTCATAAAATGGAAAACCCGTCACGAGTAGTAGTTCGAAGAGGAGAAAACTAAAGTATTCTTTCTTCTTTCCTGAACCAGACATTTTCTCAACCCACCTGGACATCGTAGGGCACTACTCCTTTTCCCATGGAGCCTGGTTTAATTTCTTGTCCTTTGCGATTGGCACAAATTATTCCCTATGAAGAGAGACATGTTTTATATAGGTATATAAATTCTGACAATGAAACACAGTTTAGTCTTGGGGACTGGGGAGATGGCTAAATTAATAAAATGCTTGTCATCAAACATGAGGACCTGAGTTTTGATCCCCAGCGCTCACACAAAAAGCCATGTGTGGTTGTGAGCCTGTAAGCCAAATATTGGGGAGGTGGAGACAGGCAGATCCCCTGAGATTACTGGCTAGCCAGTCTAACCTAATTGATGAGTGCTAGGTTCAGTGAGAGACTGTCAAGCAAACAAAAACATGGAGGGGACTGGAGAGCTGTCTCAGTTTTAACAATGCATACTGCTCTTCCAGAAGACCCAAGTGTAGCTCCTAGCATCCATGTCTGTAACTCTAGCTCTAGGGGATTCAGCACTCTATTCTGGCCTCTGCAGATACTGCCCCCACCCCACCCTCCCTATGCAGCACACTGTTTTGCCTGATTCCTAGGATGTGGGGTCATCTTCAGGGGTGAGCCTCACCCCAAATGTTCTGATCCAGTGATATTGGGTAGAATGTGGGGATTTGCATTCTACCACATTTCTGTATGGCATCTATGCTGCTGTTTTGAGAACCATACTTTCTTTCCCCCTTTCTTATTGTTACTGTTTGGACTTAAGAGGCAAGAGCTAAAGTTCTTATTATATTATAGTGGAGGGTAGCCTTAGGAGATGTAGCTGAGGCTGGCTTTGAATGTGTGGTTCTCTCGCCTCAGTTGTCTGTGTACTGGAATTACAGGCATATCCTGATACATCTAGCTAAGTACTCAGCTGCAAACCAAGCTAAGTACTCAGCTGCAAACCATGCCTACTAAGCGCCATTATATGAACATTGTAATAAATTCTTTCTCATTGCAGTGGAAAACCCCATCATTCCCTAAATTCCCTGAGACATTCCCTGTGCATGGAGGAGGCAGAAAGGCCAATAGCAGTTCCCTTTTAGCCATACCTAGCTGAGCAATTCACAAATTATGATAACTATTTGCAGCAAGGTATCTAGAAATTCCATAAAGATTTAGAGCATGAGTGGGTCACTTCAAGGACTCAATGGTCAATCCTGGGACTGAGTAAGTTCCATCATACAGACAGGTCTCCATATAAAGACTGTCTCTATCCTTACAGTCAACTAATCAAGGTTTTGAAGTTTGTGGTTTTAAAAATTGCACCTACTGGAAGTTGTTGGTCTTTAATCCTAGCACCCTGGAGGCAGAGGCAGGTGGATTTCTGAGCTCTGAGTTCGCAGCCAGCCTGGTCTACAGAGGGAGTTCCAGGACAGCCATGGCTACACAGGGCTACAAACTCTGTCTTGGAAATCCAAAATAAATAAATAAATAAATAAATAAATAAATAAATAAATAAATAAATATTGCACCTATGTTGAATATGTACAAGTATTGCTGTCCTATTATTCCCCAGTTAATGCAGCTCAATAGCTACTTGAATAGTAGTTTCAAATAGTAACTTTGTGTTGTATTTAGTACCATAAGTAATCTAGCAATTTAAAACATAAAGGAAGATATGTCTAACTAAGTTCTGTGCAAACCCTGTCCCATTTTAAATGAGGAATACGAACATTTCAGGATTTGGGTATCTTCTATAGTTTTGGACCCAATCTCCCATGGCTATTGAGGAAAAGCTCCTAAAGTTAAAGTTTGTCCTTCAAATATACCACTTCAGTTTGTCCATAGCCTTCATACAGCTCCAGCCCAGTTTGCACCTTCCACTGCTCCAGCACCTCTGGGTTGAGCGGCTCCCCTCCTGTCAAGCAGTGCCGCAGACTCTTGAACTGATATCTGGAGAGAAGACAGAGTTGAATGGTCTTTGAGGGAGACAATTTCATCGCAAGTTCAAATGCTTGAGCAACAGAAGAGCTAGTAGAAATGGGTCTTAGAAATATCCATGACCTAAATATTTTCTGAAAACCTCCATTATTGCTGGATACCTTCTAGTTGTGGGAGGCACATGAGTGATGCCAGGAGGTTCCCTTATGTTTGGCAGGTGGGGAATGTAATGGGGAGCAGGGTAGATAAAAATGCTAATAATAATATTACACAGTATTACAATTATGAGAAAAATGATATAACACAGGTTAGGGTGGTGGCTGTGTGATAATATCTCTAGGAACACTCTTAGATTTCTCACAGACCCTATTTTACAGATGTGGAGACCAAGGTGCGTAAAGAGATTAAAGAAATTATAAAAGCCTCCCCAGTAATAAATGTAGCATCAAGTAGGATGCTTTGCACTGTGCCCTGTTCAGGAGGATTGCCCAAGCTTATCATCCACATTGAATCCTTATCACAGAGTTATAAATGAAAGGAATGGGGGCTTACCAAAGTCAAGTAAGCAAGTAGCAAAGCTCTTGTAGCCTGACTTTTGATCTTTTGTTTTTAACTAGTGGCCTATTGGATCCACATTATAAAGTCTGGCACAGTCTGACTCACATACACAGTGAGGCCCCAAACGTGCAGGAGGCAATGTGGGCAAAATGTACCCCATGTGTTCAAGCATCCCCTATACAGCTTTGGATTACACTTGAAATGTGAGACAAGATGTTCACATTGATAGCCACAAGGAAGTGACAGTAACAAGAAAAGAAGGGCTGTCTATCCATGACACTCTGTCTCTCACAGCGCTCCTCCCCTGGGCATCCAACCCTTAGTGGGAAAGGAATATGGTCAAGCCTACAGGACTCAAATATTCTTCTCTTCTTTCTCTTTCCATGTATTATGTAACTGTTTCCTCCAAGACTGAAACATTGCATCCTTCAAGGAATCTTCTTAAAACTGTAGGGAAACAACTCAAAATGGCTTCAGGAAGTCCCTGATACTGACCAGGTTCACTCCATCCCTCCCTGTCAGAGTAAGCAAAAAAAGATGAAAGGAAGACTTAGACAAACCAACCTGCAAAGAAGACTGAGATGTGTAGCGAGTTCAGGTTTCCAGCTTTTGGTGCTAGAGTAGGCTATTTTTAGTCATTTCTATTCCTATAAGTAACCCTTACCCATAATCAAGTAAGTAACCCTGATAAAACTCATTGGTTCACCAATGGACTTTAGTGGTATCTGTACTTTGGTCTGTGTTGGTTGCCTATGTGGGGTGAATAGATGTATGTGTTGTGTCTCCCCAGGAAAAGTTTTGTCATATAACACCATGTCCTAAATTTTAATTAGTTATCTAAAAATACATTGCAACTCTACCTGACAGGCAGATTGTTTGGCTAACACATTTATAATCCCTAAGTCATAAGTTTCATTAGCTTCTCTTCAAGGATGCCAAGGTGTGCTTTTTGCTTTCTTGTCTTGCTTTGAAGTGAAGGGGCTGATTCTAAAGTCTCTCTCTCTCTCTCTCTCTCTCTCTCTCTCTCTCTCTCTCTCTCTGTCTGTCTCTCTCTGTGTGTGTGTGTGCGCGCTCGCGCGTGCACGCACACACATGCATGCTCCTGTAGGTGTGGGTGTATATCGGGTGCCCATGTCCGTATGCCTGTAGGTTAGAAGGCACCCTCAGGTATGATTCCACAAGTACCATTACATTGCTTTTTGAGACAGGATCTCTTCCTGGCCTCAGATTCCTCAAGCACACTACCTGGCTTGCCAGTGAGCCCCAGGGATCTGTTTGTCTGTGTCTTTCCAGTGCTAGATTACAAGTACACAATACCACATCTGAATGTTCAGTGGATTCTGGGGATCAAACTCAGGCCCTCATGCTTGAGTGGTAAGCATGTGACTGAACTATCTCCCAGTGCTTCCCCTGGATCCTGAGCTGCCATATGATTTTGTTCCCATAAGGTACTAGGTAACATCTTAGGATATTTTGGTCATCATGAATGAAGGAAAAGGAGGGGATGGTGCTACTGGCCACCGCTCAGTACTACATAGTGCACAGAATAACTCCACAACACAACATTAATTGGTCCGGATGTCCATAGGGTGAGATTCAGACTCTTGAGCACCCTGAGTGGTAAAGGAAGCTCTGTAATGTTGGGCGACAGCTTCTGCTTGTGCTGCAGATGGAGTTCTACCCAATACCTCTTAAGGTCCTTTTGCACGAGCATCCGGTACACAGTAGGAGCACTGCACAGGGTTGTGATGGGATAAGTGGTAAGCGTCTGGAGGACAGAAAGACAGATGTCGGGAGTGGTTAGTTAGAATGGCTAAAGATGACATCTACAACCTCTCTTTTCCATTGCTGCCTGCTAATCACATGGAATAGTTAAGTAAATATTGACCAGCTGTCATTAGTGACATGTTGAGGGTTTCCAGTTAATAGAAAGAGAAATTACACATCCTAGAAAAAGATATATGCTGTCAGATTTAATCGGTGAATTGCTGAGTTTGAAAACAACCCATAGTATGAACTGGTTTTCTCAACTTCAGAACTTCCCATGGTGAACTCTTATAAACTCATACCCATATTTACCCATGCATCTCTGTTGCACTGAGCATGGATATATGAGGACCTTTCAGCACCATTCCTGTGAAGGACGGCCTGCTTTCAGATAATGAGTGCAGAAACAGGTACTTTAGAGGGGCCTAAATTTTCCCGGGCTTACTACACCTCTAATTCCTTAGGTCAAACCTTTAAGTCTAATGAAACCAATAATGGAGGAACAGGCTCCACTGCATCATTCCATGTGCATTCAATGTGTTCACAGTTGGTATTATGCATGAACATTCTGAACAATGCTGTCCTCCTGTGTGAAGGTCAGCTAAACAGTCATAACGTTGGGAATATCTCTTAATTCATACAGTAGCCTCCCCTTCCCCTTCAGAGGCTTTGATATTTTAGTAAGTATAATGTACACATCTCAGAAAAGCATAAGTCCTCTAGAGATTTTTACAATTACATATCTTTGTAAAATAAATAAATACTCTTATTGTGCAAAAAGAAAGTCTTGAGACTGTGAACAGTTCTTTTTCAGAACACTTGCTAAACTTGATGCAGAGAGCTCCATTTTTTTTAACCTCACTATATTTCTCTTAAGGCATTCTATCTCTTGTTAGTCCAGTTAGCAAAAGAAAACAAATCACAGGCTGAACAGAGCTTTGACTCTTATACGGGCATGGTGCTTTGTGAATACTACAGATTTCATAAAATTAACTGATATTTATTATCAAAAATAATTGGCTTTAATCATGTTTTCATCTGGCCAAAACTGTCAAATATTTTTATTAGTATGTAAATTATGTTTGCTTTTAATGAATTATGAAGTTACATATATACCAAAGAATTATTTTAAAATAAATTGTGATTTATTGTCAGTAATGTTGGATTTGTATAACTGGAGGGTTATCTAAAAATTCCTGGGTGTAAGAAGATCAGAGTGGTAATTTATGGACCCTGATTTATGGACCATAACTATATATATATATATATATATATATATATATATATATATATATATGTTGCATGCAATCAAATCAAGGCAACTAGTAAGTGAATATCCTCAAATATAATCACTCCTGTATGTTGAGAATATCCTAACCTCTAGTTACTTTGAAATGTGTTGTAGGCTACAGTTAGCTTGGTGTGCTATTAGATATCTTAATGTAGCCATCTCTGGTGGAAGATATGCATATCTGGTTTGCATTAGTATTGGGCTCTATGAATTACAATGGGGAGCACAGGATGGGAAAAAGAGAGGCAATTGGAAAGGACTGCTGTAAGAAAAAGGCCAATCTGAGATTATCTATTGTCCTTTTTTCTATTATATGAGAAACAAAATATGTGTTTAAACTTGAGTATTCTGTCATTTAGAAATATGCTCCTAAGCTGCCATGTTTTATCCACACCTGTGAACTCAGAGTGATTCACAGCTCCAGCATGGCTTTCCTTCTGAGAATGTGATTTCCCTCATTCACAAGCATTCATATGTCAACCCTGAGAATTTTCTCCTTAAAAAACCCTGAGTTCCTGAACCTTGGTAAGCTCTGGAATTTGAAGAATCCTTTCTTTCTGTTTTTTTGGGATCAAGACTTACATCTAGGAAGGTATCACTGTCAAACTGAGCCATCCGGTGCACGAAAACACAGGCACCTCGAAGCCATGCAGAAAACACACTACCAATGGCAGCCTTGATCCAGCCAGTGTCTGACATGTTCCACATGATATCTGAGGGTGTCAAGTCCAGCCAATACCTACATGCAGAAAAGCCACAAAATAGATCAAAAACAAGTAAAAATTAAAACAAACAAACAAAAAATTGGAAAGCAAGCACTGTGTTATTGAGGAGTAGCCTCTCCCTACCCTACAGTGGAAGCAAGCCTCAGAGCAAGTGCAGGGTTCTACTTACCCTTTTCCGTAGAAGGACTTTTCTGAATCTTATGTCATCTAGGAGTAGGATGGGGAGCTGGTTTTGGGTGTGCTTTTATGGGTTTGTCCATTGACATAACAAATATTTAATGTGCAAATGTTGTGTAGAAGGCACTGTTATCATGAAGCACACAAACAGACCTGTACTTTTATTTTAGGGAAACAGACTAGGAACAAGCAAACAATAATGTGAACTAAAAATGTAAATATTATAGGAAAAGCAGATAAGATATTTATTTTTAAAGTATTGTGATAAAATACACTGGCAGAAGGAGGAAGAGCTTAATTTTGCTCACAGTTCCAGGGTAGACACCACCGTCCCGGGGAAGTCCTGGCAGCAGGAGCTGGAGGTAGCTGATAACACTTTGTTTATAGGAAGCAGATCCTGATAGATGCTTATGCTCAGATTACTTTCTATTTTTTATACAGGTTCAGGCTTTCAGCCCAGGGAATGTTGCCACCCATGGTGGGCAGGTCTTATAACCTCAGTGAACCTAATCAAGACAGCAATCCCCTAGGCATACCCAGAAGACAATCCCTTGGTATTCTAGATCTAATGGGTTGATGATTGAGACTAACCAGTGAATGACTTAACTTTAAGTGTAAAGAAAATTAAACAGAGCAATGTGACAGTTTTAGGTATACATGTTTCTAAAGACACTTATGGGTAGGTAAATTCACCTGGCAATGAGGAGAGGAAAGTAGACATGTTATGAATCAAGATCATGTTCTAAATTCTTGCTTAATCAGTTAATTAGATGCCACCATTTAATGGTAGGGCAGGGGCACTGAAAGTTCTGTTAGAGATATCTGAATAGCCATTCAAGAAGAGGTATTATATTGGCAGATGGACACCCACACTGGCAGCCTGGGAAACTGCATACAAAACAAAGAAGTGATTTACAGTCCAGAGCCAGCTACAGTGTGAGACTGCAAATGAACTAAAAACAAAACTATAGTTTCTTCCCCCTACCTTCCACAAAGAGCATATCCAATGCCAAGGCTGCTCTGTGAATGCTGAGCCATCTTGGGGGAACCTGTGGTCCCACTGGTGAAGTAAATGGCCATTGGTTCTTGACTTCCTGTCTCCACACAGCTGTGCTCCTCGGAGGCCAGTCTGCAGATGAATCCCAAGATAGAGGCCGAAGACAGATCAGTTGTCTCTGCATCATTGTTCTGTTCTTGCTTCCCTCTTACTACAGGGGAGTAATGGACTAGACCTACCAAAGCTTCCCTGAGCAGAAACTCCCAGGAAATCTTAGAGGAACTCTGAAAATCAGGGCAAAGATTCAATGGCATAAGTGCTTGTTTTTAAGCTCATTTCTCTGTAGGCCAAATAGACAACCAAAATAACTCTCAAAGTCTATGACATATGTACATACACTTTATTTCAATGTCTTTGTAATTTATAAAAAAATTTAAAAGTAGATTTGAATCTTGTAAATTAATACCATTTCAAGAATTGGAGCTTATAGGAAGACCTTTAGACTCAAAAGCCAAATGCATTGGGATCAAACTTAAAAAATAATTGTTTTTGTCCAGTATCTTCAGTATCTCTGCCAGAAACACTTAATAGCTGACCAAATATACACCTATCCTTTTCCTGAACTAATAAAAGTATGGTTTTGTTCAGATACTACATAGCCACGTGCTTTGGGGAAACTGCCTCAATTAGTCATAATTAAGCTAAGCCAGTCAGGATCATTCTTTCCCTTTTCAGTGGTTGGTTTAGGAATGGGCTTGGGAGAATTATAGCCAATACGTATAAAGCCCTACTGATAGGAGACATTTGCGTGCCTTAAAAAAGAGTAATTAAGGCTGGGAAGATGTTCCATGAGGACCAGAGTTTGAATCCCAACACACATGTAAATGCCAGGCATGTGTGGTGGCCTATCTGTGATGCCATTGCTTGGAACGTGGAGACAGGAACATTAGAGCAAGCTAGCTACCCAGACTAGTGACATTGGTGGGCTCTGGGTTCAATGAGAGACCCTGCCTCAATGAGTAAGGTGACGAGAGAGATTGAGGGAGACAGCTGATGTCAGTCTCAGGCCTTTACATACAAACACTTACATGTGAACTCGTGTGTGTGTGTGTGTGTGTGTGTGTGTGTGTGTGTGTGAAGATGGGTTAATGAAAGACAGCTAAATTGGGGTCTGTGCTAGCTTCATTGAGCATATTAGGCAAGCCCCAGTACTGTTTGTGTCATTAGTACTTAGATTACTAAGGTGAAATGAATTCATCTTAGGTGATAGCAATCTGTGAAAGGGCTGTCTGTATAAGACAGATCTCCAACTCCTCCCATCCCTGGAAAAACATGCCATTCCCAAACTGAGGATGGAGCAGATATCCTCCATTCATAAATCTGGGTGATACTTATGACTTAATCTGCCATAAACAGTGTGCCAGAGGCCAGGGATTCTGAGACTTCTTGGTCAGCTTACAAAAGGCTTTGTAGCTTTTGTTTTCTTCTGTTCTTGGGGACAGGAGGACTCAGCTACAGATGATGTGCAGATTGTCTATCTTGACAGAGGGGCCATGAGAATAGAACTCAGGTGTTTCAGCTGTCAGTTGGCACCAATAGCTTATAAATAAATCTGTCTCTTATATTCTGACTCCATCAAGCTGCTGTGACACAGAGACCAGCTGCTGTTGGGGTTATGTATGAACTTCTGACTCACAGCATGTAAGCAAATAAAATGTTATTTTTGTCTTTACATCAGTAAGCACTGGGTTGGGTGTTAGCCAGTGATGGATATCACACACACACACACATACACACACACACACACACACACACACACGTCTTACTATGTAGCCACTGACAGGCCTGGAACTCACTATGTAGACCAGTCTAGCCTCAAACTCATAGATATCTGCTTGCCTCTGCTCCCTGAATGCTGTGATTAAAGGCATCCACTATCATGCCCTGACTTATGCATTATATTTTTAATTTCCCTTTTGGAAAAATTCCAAGTAAAAGGTTTGGTTTCAGTGAATTTTACTTGGTGTTATCATTTTGTTTTGAGGCATTTTCTCTGTGCATTTGAGGATGATGTTAAATTTCCTCCTGCCTCCACTTGGAGTGCTGAGATCACACACACGTGCCACCCCATCCAGATTACAAGGCACTGGAGAAGTTCAGGGCTCCACACACGCTAGGCAAACTCATCGTCTGAGTTACGTCTCTAACCCTCAACTAATTTTAATGATGAATGATGCCATTGAAACTGTAGAATCGAGACTATTGGGTAATAAATATACCAGCCCATACTGCTAAATAATGCCCAAAGAAGTTTCACAGAATATTGAGATATTTTGGTTATGCTCTTTCTTCAAAATAGAAAAAGATCATAGAATTTTTTCTTTCAGTTCAAATATTGGGTGAAGTTGGATGTTTTGGTTTTGGGGGGGTTATGTTACTTTATCAAACATCCTAAGTTAGGGAACATCTCTTGTCTCTGGACATTTCTCAACTCAGTAAGGAGACCTATGAATACAAGGCTTTTATTGTATGTTTACTTTTTGCTAAAATAAGAGGTGCAGAATCTCTGGAGGCAGGAAGATGCACAGGGGGTGATACTGAAGTCTGGTTTTCTCTCTTCCCTGGGTTCTGAGCTCTAGAGTTTCAGAGCTGACTCTTTCCTGGTAACTTCTGGATTTTAATTTTATACCTGAGACTCACATGTTCTCCACCTGTTAGACATCCAAATCTTCTTAGACCCCTATCTGATTATGGCTGGCAGTTAAGTTACTATCTTTAGAAAAATGTGTATGGTTACTTTACCTGCATGTATGTGTGTACCACATGCATGTGGACCCAGAAGTGTGCATTGGATTCCCTCAGAACTGAGCTTACAGACAGTTGTGAACTGTCATGAGGGTGCTGGGAATTGAACCTGTGTCCTCTGGTCAATGCATTTAACAGCTCTCCCTCCCTCTCTCCTTCCCTTCCTACCTCCCTTCCTCCCTCCCTTCCCCCTTTTCTCCTCCTTCCATTCTTCCTTTTCATTTCTCTTTATAGTGTCTTGCTGTGTAGCTTAAACTGGCTACTAAGATCTCCATTCTCCTGCTCTGATCTCCTGAACATACCCCATGCCTGCCTTTAATTTCCCTTTTAGTTGGGAATAGAGTCCAAGACTTTGTTTTTCTAGGCAAGCTTCATTGCCAGTCCTGTCTTCCTTCACCCAGTCTCCCAACACAAAACCAAACAGCCTCACTCCTGCTTCCTTCATCCTCTGTGCGAATCAGCCTTCAAATACATTTGCAACTACTATGCTATTTGTTCCTGGCATTATGCTGAGCATGTCTGTGGTAGTATGAATGTAACTGATCCCCATAAGCTCATAGGGAGTGACATTATTAGGAGGTGTGGCCTTGATGGAGTAGGTGTGGTCTTGTTGGAGAAAGTGTGGAGCCTGGCTTTGAGGTCTCATATGCTCAGGAAGTGATCTATGACACTGGCAGTATCTTGATCACTTCCTGTTGCCTGAAAGATGCAGGACTCTCAGCTACTTCTCTGCCTGCATGCTGCCAGGTCCCACCATGATGATGATATACTGAATCTCTGAACTGTAAGCTGCCACCCCAATTAAATGTTTTCCTTTATAAGAGTTGCTGCGGTCATGGTATCTCTTCACAGCAATGGAAACCCTTACTAAGACAATATCATATTATTTTATCTGATTTGTCTTTTCTGCAACCCCATACTGTTATTATCCTGATTTCATAGATTAAGAAATGACATTTAGAGGTTAGGTATTTAGCTCAGTGGTAGAGCACTTGCCTAGCAAGCACAATGCCCTGAGTTCGGTCCTCAGCTCTAGAAAACAAAAAACAAAAACCCACCAAACAAAAACATGTCATTAAATTACCTGGGTTCCCAACTTACAAACTAAATTTATTTATTTGTTTATTTTTATGAAACACTAGCTAATTATATAAGTATAATGCTGTCAATGAACATTTTCTCATTTTTTAAAAAAACTTAGAAGATACTTTCTCACATGTTAGCTTATTTTATCCTCAAATATCATTAGAATTTTGCAATATAACTATCCCTAGTTTACATATGAAGGAAATCAAGGTTAAACAACCTGTTTTGTTAACTGCTCATTAAATATTCCTTAGCACCCAAACAGATTCAGAGAGGTAGCTAAGATTTGTTCTGTTGCTGGTGCCTCCCACCCTAAATACTCACGGAAGTAACTCTTGAAAGTTGAGCCATCCGTCCCAGTGGTTTGAAGACACCAGGAGTTTAGTCTTCAGGTTGGGACACTCTGACACAATGGAGTCCACTTCAGGGGCCACTTCCTCACTGGCCACAATGCACTTGGCCTTGGATGCTTGTAGTCGGTAGAGGATGTCTTTCCTGGTCAGTTGGGTCGTTCCTGGCATGAAGACAAGCCCTGAAACATAAAGGAATTCCTGAGCTAACAGTTCTGGAGACTATGGGTAAATGTGGGCATTGCATAGGGGTGGAGAAGAACTTCAGACCTCAACCCTCAGCCACCATGCCTTGGTTCCCTGGGACATCCTACAGGACCCCTGGCATGTGGGATCATTAGAGCTCTAGCTTTGGGGTCTGACAGGCCTTGGGTCTAGTCCTGGCCTTGCAACTTAACTAGCCTTGAGTCTTTGGTCTCTCTGGCCTTCCCTTCTTTACTTGTAACATGAGGCTAACGACAGCATCTGGTTCATAATGATGGGCTAATACTAGAACCATTTTAATGTCATGTTTGAATGTGATTATACCACAATTACATAATACTTAATCCTCATGTTACATTTTATGGCATAATTTCCATGAACATTATCTTATTCAATCTTTCCAAACAAGATGAGATTTGCAAGATAATCCACTGTGAATGAGAGGAGAAAAATAAAAGAAATTTAAAGGCGCAGAGACACTAAAATTCTTTTCATGGACCATCTCCTTTTTGCAAATGTTTTATAACATACTAGAGCATGCATACACACATAGGTAACATACATACTACATCAATGCAACAGTACAGAATGAAGAACTATAAGCAGATGAAAAAATGTCTGCCCATTATTTTTTGATATATTGCACAGCTCCAAATACTTACAAACTCTCTTCACAAAATTAAAAAGATATATTTATTTATCAATTATTTGTGTGTATGCATGCATGTGCATGTGTGTATTTTGTATAGAGGTCAGATGATAGCTTTTTGGACTTAATTCTTTCCTTCTACCTTTTTATAGGCCATGGGGATTGAATTCATGTAGCTAGGTTTGTACAGTAAGCACCTTTACTAACTGAGTCATATCAATATCCAGTGGCTACTGTTCAAAGCAGTCCCTGTAGGGAGGGGCATGCAGTCTTTGGTGATAGCTGGCGAGTGGTAGTCAGCCTGCAGATCTCTGATGCAAGGGTCTGCTACAACCAAGATTTGCCTAGATGACTAAGGTAGTGCTTAATTTACCCCACTTCATCCTACACACTAGCCAGAGATGGGTTTTCAAAGTTCCTCAGGAGAAGAACACACAGGGCAGAATCCATGGGAAAACAGTGGTATGCAGAACATGACAGTAGCCACCATCTCACTGAGCACATATCACACTCCAGTGCATGATAACTCATCCAAGGGTCACAAAGTCAGCTAAGTAGCAAAGACAGTAACACGTTCCCATTATTCCTGAGACCTGTGCTGTATAGCTATGTTGAGTATTCTGAAATCAGCTAAATAGGAAGGTGTGTGTGTGTTTGTGTGTGTGTGTGTGTGTGTGTGTGTGTGTATGTGTGTGTGTGTGTGTATGTGGCACGGGTTTCTTTCATGCTATAGTGTGCATGTGGACATAAGGCAACTTTTATGAAATCAGTACTCTCCTTCCACCTATAGGTAGGCCCCAGGGATTAAACATGGGTTTCTGAATTTGCACAACAAGCACATTTACCTGCAAAGCCATCTTGTTATTCTAAGGTTATTTTACTGAATATGTTTCAATTGATCAATCACTTAAGAAAACACATTAAAGGGTCTCAGAATGATCAATCAACATAAAAATATAAAATGATTTCTCTTACAAATCATTTGCTCTTAATGGTTCACAAGTATAATTTCCTTGGTGGGTTTGTGAATGTGTTCAATGGCTACTTTGCCACTTTGGGAGTCAGGCAGGTTCTTCTAATGGATTTCATACAGCAAATATTTGTTGGATGGTAAGTATCTTAGGCTTTACTGTGTATGTCTCAAAGCAAAATCAAAACAGTTTGCTATGTGGTGAATGAAAGCAATTTTAAAAAATTCACATAAAGAATTTGACATTCTGGGGAGAAAATGGGTCTGCAGTTGCTTTTCTTAATTTGATTAACTTTAAAAAACACTAGCTTGTGTGTTTGTATACATAAATTTCATAATTTAAATAAGTTATAATGAGTAATATTAAGCACATATTTTATGACAGATAAACCACTCTTAATCTTCTTGTAACCATGGTTGAGTTCCCATTTGTGTTTCCTTTTTATATGAATGCAAACATTTTAATATTCCTGCTTTCATCCAGTTTATTAGTAGTAAGAGTGTCTTAAATTCTATGAAATTTTCTTGATTGTATTACTATTATGTTATCATTAGCATAAACTGTCTTTTAAGAGCTACCCAATCAGGAGCCAGACATTCAATCAACAATCAGCACCTCAACTAAATTCACATCTTAGCGAGGCTATAAATTATTCCATCATTTTTATTTAGGTTGTTTCCATTTTTGCATGCTTTTTAATAACCCTGCACAAACATCTTTTTGTTTTCTGTAGTAATCTATCCTTATGCATTCTTGGTTTTTAAATGGATGTCTGAAGATTTGTGGGGTGGTTTTTTTAGGCCGGAAATTAGAGAGTTCTTTAGTAAATGAGCTGGTGAGTATATTAGACTCTGCGGTCTGTCTGTAGGATTGATCTTGGTCTCAGTCAGAATGTTTGCTGCAGAGTGAAAAATTTTGTTTACCCAAACAGGGGGAGCCTGCAGTCTATGACTTACCAATCAATCCCTATCAGAAAGGACAAGTTTTTACTTGGGGTGAATCATATTACTACTTTGGGAAAATATGTAATTGGATATATCAATTCTTTTGACTAGATGTTTTTCCAACTTGGATCCAGAGTACTTTACATTCTTACAAGTTTTTGCATCCCTAAATACTTGATCTTCTGTTGCAGAGAACCCAGATACACACTCGGAAGAGAGAACTCTGGGTTGTGGGGCTGGCATAGCACTCTGCACTGTGAAGAAGTGCTGACATTCACATTTGCTTCAGCAGATCTTGCTGTGTAATTCTAAATTCTGTAACTCTCGCTTTCAATTTTAATCTCTGTATGTGTGTGTGTGTGTGTGTGTAGGGGTGTATGAGTGTGAGCCTGGAACTTTCTGTTTTGACTAGATGTGGCTAGCTAGTTAGCCTTGGGGATGTGCCTGCCTCTGTCCCAGAGTAGATTATAGGCACCTGTCTCTCTATGCCAAGCTTTTATATGGGAATATAGGTCCTTGTGTTTGTACAATAAGCACTTTACCCACTGGGTAGTCTCTCCAGATCTCTAATTGTATAACTTTCAAGTGGTATGGCTTTTGGCAAATATCTTAACATTGCTGTGCCATGCAAAAACTTAATTTTAACTTTTCTTCTGCTTTCTTTAAGAATAGCTTTAGTCAAAGCTGGAATTTCAGAAATTGTTCAAGTTTTGGTCTCTGTGTTTTACAACTGTGACATCTGGGGTACTGACCTGTTCTCATGCAAGCCACATTGATGAGCCACCATTCGGGGATGCGGGGCAGTATCACAGCCACCCGGTCTCCTCTTTGCAGGCCGCAGGGCTTGGTGAGCACGTTAGCAGCCTTTCGGGACAAGGAACCCAGTTCTTGGAAGCTCCATTTCACTTCATCTCCTTTGCCATTTACCCACCACAGGGCAGGGCTGGCTGGCCTCTCTCCAGACTGGCCAGGAACACACGGGAAAGAGAAGATAATGTGCTAAGGTTTGGAGGTGTCACCCAAAGACCATACATTAAAAGGGATGATCCCTATCCTGTGGCTCTGGCACTTAGTGGAAAGAAGAGAATAATGTAATCAAACCCCGGGGTTCCTTCTCCTCCCTCCTCAGAGGCCCTGGAGTGAGCATACTTCCTCACCATGCTCTTTCCCTGTGACATCCTGGGCTGCCATAGGGCTAACTGAGAATGTGTTGAAAGCCCTGCACCCATAAACCAAATTAACCTTTCTTTACTTTAAGTTGTGTATCTTAGGTATTTTGTCACAGTAACAGAAAGCTGACTAGCACAGAGGTCAGGTGAGAATATCTGCTATTATTCCTATTCCACACCCATTCCTCTAGTATGGCTGGGGACTTTCCTCTCCAGTTCAATAGTCTTGGAAACACACCCCTTCAGGGGTTTGCTTTTTTTATTTTCAACAGGAAAGGAGCATGCTCCGAGGGTTGAGTTAATCTAATTCCATCTCCAAGAGGAACCAAAAGATAGAAACTGATTGGAATGAAGCATGTATATGGCTTCTTAGTACTTTTAAGTTCCCATGGATCCTGCCTTTGCTGAGATAAACAATCGATTTAAACTTGACACAGTGAGAGGACATGGGAGACAGAACAGGATCAGTGGAGACTGCTGTCCTATACCTTCTCCTTTTGGGACCACTGGTCCAGTACATCCGCAGCAAAGTTAAAGGTCTTGGGTAATGGCTTCTCACAGCGATTTATGGCTTCAAAGTCAGCAAGCGTCAGAGGTGTCCAGAGCTGGGGTTGTCTGTGGAAGTGCCGGCTGGCTGGCTTGGCAAGCCAGATGAATCTAAATCTCTGATAGAGGAGGAGAATCTTCATGATTACCAGAGGACTTTGTCTTCTGATAGGAAGTGGGAAATGCCTGTGGGGAAAATGAGTAGGGAGTGTCAGCTGAAGAATGCTCCATCCTCACATAGACCTGTCACCACTGGCCACTCTTTTGTGTTCCCCCTTCTCAATGCTTCTTCATTCTGCCTATGACTATTTTAGTCCTAAAAACCTAGACAGCTGTAAAATTGTCAAACTCTGAACTACTGCTGTCATCTCCCCAGGGAAACCACCAGGGCAATATTTGCAGTTCGGATTGGCATGTGCCCCCACCCCCCTCAATCACCTCACACTCTTATCGTATCTGCTCACTCCTCTGCTTGGGTTTCTTCTTCCAGTAAAGTCAGTCTGCTCACTTTTGAGACCATTCACCTCCACCATGAAGACACACCCTGCTAGCCCCCTTAATTCCAGCTAGCCTGCTCTTTTCTGCCCATTATCCCTCCATTACAATTCACTGAAAACTTCCATTGAGGCCCTGAACCATTCATTCTGTATGGCCAAACAACTTTGGGAAAATCGTTCGTCTCCCTGATATAGTAGGGAGATAAAAATCTCTTATTCCTAGGGTTATTATGAAGATTTAATAAGATAATGAATGTAAACTGTGCAACTTGTCAAATAGGACTTCCCAGGTGTGAATTACTGAAGTTTGGATAGTGTCATGACACAGTTTTCTGGAACACTATTAGCATGTGGGTCAGGATACCTGGATTGTATTCCCGATTCTTTCTAATTGGCTTGTGATATCAGTAAAATATCCAAGTTTTCTTCCATTTGTGTTTCTCATATAATTCTATAGGTGCTTCTTAATTTGATCTTCTGCAACTCTCACCCTGTATTATTCAGGTGACAGCAGTCTGCCATATGCTATCATTTTCATCCATTGAGTCTTGACTGTCTAACCTAGATGCTGTGGATAGAAGCTATGTAACTGTGCATTCCATTCTTAGCACCAAGGGTGACAGAGCCAATAAAAAGAGCTCCTGTTTATAAAGCTTTTGCTCTAGAAAGGTCAACACTTTCTGTCCTTGTTGTTATTGCACAAGTGCAATAGAAGCTTGTGAGGCAGGAGCTGCTAATGTTTTCACTTTGCAGGTGAAGACATGGAGGCTGATGGAGACTGAAGTAGCTTGCCCAAGATGGTCTTTCTCATGGTAGCAGAGCCAAGGCTAGGTTCTCCTGTGATATGGGACCTTGTGGACAATGTCCTGTGTGCTTTCTTCTCAATAGGCATTCTTGTCTATGGTGAGAACCCCCAGCTTTATGCTTTTTAGTTCCAGAAAGTTCATTTACATAGAGTGGAAAAATATGCAGGTGCAAAGGGAACCTGGATGGAAGCATGATGACAACAAACATTAGAACACAAAGCCCAGGGCGCTGCTCCCATTCTTTGTTGTTTTCATGCACCTTAGATCCCAGAGTGAGGTCTGGACTCCTTGGAGTGAAAATGAAGTTTGCCCTTGAAGAGCTATGTCTGTTCGTACTGTTGGTATTAAACTCTCGTGTGTCAATGTGGAAAGAGGGACCATGCATAGACACATTATAATTATTAACTAACATAACTAAGATGTATTGATAATTATTAGTATGACTTAAAAAGAGAAGAAACAACAACAAAAGAGAGAGTTTGTACCTTTCCCAGGCAATTTTCTGGAAATGTAGTGGAGATGTCACAGCTAAGAAGGGAAGAAAGGAAAAGCGTAGTGGGCCATGCTCACAATTCAACATGTTGCCAAATTGAGCCACCTTTCACTCTTCTAACATACATGCACAAATGCACACCCATTTGCACACACATGCATACACATGTGCAAACACACACACATACCATATACCATGGTCCATATATACCCACACAATTGTATCCACAATTTTATAACACACACACACACACACACACACACACACACAATTTTTTTCTGAGTGACTTTTCCCAGTTACTTAGCCTATTCACTTCTCAGTCTCATCTGTGCAACACAGTACTGATAATACTGACTTTACTGGCCAGTTGTAGGGCTTCTGTAAGTTCCTGCCTTCTTCCTGGTACACAGCTAAGACTCAAAGTGCTGCATGAGAACAACTAAACATCATGCAGGCATGATGGCCCATGCTTTAATCCTAGCACTGGCCAAGAAAAGATTTTCATGTGTTTGAGACCAGCTGGAACTATGTGAGACCACGTCTCAACAAAACCAAACCATAATAAAACAAAATTTGAACCTCAACATTATTTATCCTGCAAGACTTTAGTAAAACTAAAAAAAAAAAAAAATCCAAAAAGACAAAAGCTAGTATATTGGAGTCACTACCATTCATCTGACTCTTCTAGGGCTGTACTCCGAATCTCTGGGACCAACTCCGGCTCTATTACCCAAGGCATCCTCACCTTCACATCCACTCATTTTTACCTTTTCTTGGTTTCAGTTCAATGAGCTGGAAAGATTTTCAAAATATGGACACCCAGAACACTCTTCTGTCTATGAATAGTATCAATCTTAAAGGAAAAAAAATTTCCTCATCTTTATTCCTTCCTCCAAATTAAAAGAATGATTTCTCTTGGAGCATTCTTATTTCTCATATCACTATGGACAAATTTCCCATATCTCAACCTCATGCTGTAAATAGATCTGAATTGACTATATCTTTGTGTCTTTTGCAGTCTGAGCACAAATAAAGAGGAGTGACTACTACAAATGCACATGCAATTGAGTAGGTTTCTCCATTGATTTTGGGATATCTTTTGCCAATAACATTCCATTCCTATCTTTTTGGTCTATGTTTGATTTTGGAGTTGAGTTTGGTACAGATGAGCTTTTAAAGAGAACACAGAACTCTGGAGAGTCGCCATTTTGCTTTGAACAAAGCCATTTTCTGACATAGGATTCTTCAGGGAAGTGTATGCGATTCCAGGGTCAAACCTGAAGGCTGCTGAGTGTTTTAAATTAAAAACAACACCGTTAGAGAAATTGGTACATAAACATGCTTTTTAAAATGTCTCCAGAAAAATCTCTGTGAAATTGAGATAGTTGAACTAAATAATTTCTAAGCACTTCACGATCTCCAGGGTTTAAAAAGAAAACTTAATATTGGGAAAACTTATTGAGCAACAGTTGGCCACTCAGGTGAATACTTCTATGTTATATGTCACCGAATTCTGAATTTTGCTTTTAGTTAGAAGAACTATCGAAGATGGCTGTTCAACCTTGGGTCTGTAGGGATCATGGTGACATAGCATGTTGACATAGCCTGCTTGCTTTCTGCTGCTGTGCTAGGTAGAGTCCCCTCCATGTTGCCACATGCATCTATCTTACCAGCAAATGGTACTGCTGATCCAGAAGTCCTGCTCCTTCTCAAAGGCTGTTTCTGCCACAAAGTTGATTCCTTCCTGCCTTCTCTTTGGATGGTGTCTCTGCCACTGTGGCCTCAAGTCTCTGGAGTACAGTTGAGAGGATCATAATCCCTTGGGAGGAGAGTTTTTGTTTCTCTGGACAACCCATGGTTAAAGGGACAGACACCTATATCCCTGGCTCAGTGCCAAACAAAGAATAAGCCTGCTCATTAACGGATTATTCTCATTTCCAGAGCTGATATTGAGATCTACAACGCCCATTCTGAGTGTTCCAGGATATTGGCATAGCTGGATCTGACTGCAAACCTGTCAGTTTAAAATAGCCCAAATAGATTATAAGAACTGCTTCAAATCCCAGTCTTTTATTCAGCACCTACTGTGTATTAACATCTATTAAATGTCCCGATATTGTCTCGCTGGGAAACCACCTTGAAACAATATCACTCATTGTTTTATATTTTCCAAAATGGTATGTATTTTCTTTCTTTCTTTCTGTCTTCCTTTCTTTCTTTCTATCTTTCTTCCTTATTTTACATATCAATCCCACTTCCCTCTCCCTCCCTCCTTCCTTCCCTCCCTCCCTTCTTCACCCCTCCTACTCTCCCTCCCTCCCATTCCCCCTGACCACCCTCCCAGCCCACCCCCCTTCCCGCACTCCACAGGGAGGGTAGTGCCTTTCAGGAGGTGTCAACAAAATCTGTCAAGCCATTTGGAGTAGGGTCTAGGCGCTCCCTCCTGCCTCTAGGTTAAGGGAGTATCCCTCCATGGGGAATGTGCTCCTGAAGTCCTTTTGTACACCAGGGATATATCCTGGTTCCACTGTCAGAGGTCCCTTAGACTGCCCAGGCCTTCTAACTGAGACCCATGTTCAAGGGGGTCTGAGTCAGTCCAATGCTGGATTTCTAGTTATCAGTCTGGGGGTCCATTAGCTCCTCCTTGTTCAGGTCAGCTGTCTCTGTGGGTTTCTGTGGCCTGGTCTGTGTATTTTCTATCACAAGTACAAATTGCTAATTTTTTAAATCAAATTTATAAATTATTTTTTACTGTACATGAAATACATAGTTAATAGTAACATCTGTGAAGAATATAATCTTCCTTCTCTACAATGGTGCTGTTAACTTTCACTCTTAAACCTCCAATTTGCTTCAGAATAGAAGACTTGGTGTATCTACTGCTGGGGTGTAGATACCCTCACATTAAATTTTAAAAGTTTAATCCCAGTTATTTTTAACCTTTTTCTTCTTTTCATATCCTTGGTGATAAAACATTTCACAGGGCTGATGGGTTACCCTGGGATCATGGAACAGAATTTGATTATAAACATTCACATATTATAGTTACTATTATCTACCTATGGGCAACCTCCACTGAAACCGTTGATGACTTTTGAACCCTGCACTCTCCTGCTATATTCACAGTGAGACATAATGACCTACTCCATGGCCACTATGGCCTCTGTGATCAATGGCCTTCTTCAGGGCAGCCTGATTTTCCAATCCTCTCTAAGCTACTTTCAAACTTGTTTGATACATTTTGAGACACTTTCATGAGTCAGGCTGTGGGTTAGAGGTATTTTAGGCACTTTTCTATGCCATAATGTAGTGCCTGAATAATGGTGTTTTTCTTTTTGTCTTCACCCCAGAAGTGAGGTATAAAGCTCTACACTCCATGCTCATTTTTCATTTTTATTTGGGAGTGTCTGATGCTAGAATATCTAGAGACAGAGTCTTTTCTTGGATAGTCTTTTTCAAATATATTTTATATTCAGATGATTGGAGAGATAATTTCTTGGTTAAGATCACTGGCTGCTCTTCCAGAGGACCAGAGTTCAATTCCTAGCACCTACAAGGTGGATCACAACCTCTGTAACTCCAATTCCAGGGGATCCAACACCCTTTTATGGCCTTTATGCACACTTCATGCATGTGATACACAGACATACATTCAGACAAACATTCATTGGTGTAAAATAAAATAAACAAAATCTTACTCCCTGCCCCACCCCCTCCAAAAAACCTCAAAACAGCAGAGATCATCAGAAACAGGGAAAGTCACAGGCCAAATACACTTAAGTCTTCAGACCTGGTGAATGTCATGTGATTTCCTGATGGGAAGATACTTAGGAGAAACTAGGGGAACAGAGTTTACTTAGTAAGGGCATTCTACCTTTGTCATCATGGTCATGAGCAATGCATGATCATGAAATAAGATGCTAACAATGGGTGAGGGGTGTGACTGAACTCTTTTCCTGTTTTTGCAACTTTCCTCTCAGTGTAAAACTAAAATAGACATTATGACTTAAATTATATCTGTGGGAGCAGGATGAAAAATGGATTGCACATGTGTGTGTCTATGTGTCTGTGTCTGTGTTTGTGTGAGGGAGAGAGTGTGTGTATGTGTCTATGGGGGGTTGTGGACCTGTGAGTGTGTGTGTGTGTTGTGTGTGTATGTGTGTATGTGCACATGCAGGCCAGAAGTCTGGTGTCCTCCTCTATCACTCACTGCTTTATTGTTTGAGAAGGAGTCTCTCATTGAATCTTAATTCAGCACAGTTCGCTGGCCAACAAACTGCAGACCTTTATCTGCCCCCCACCCACCAGCACTGGAATGATAGATGCATGCCACCACGCTTGACCTTTTATGTAAGTGAAAGAATCCAAATTTAGGTTCTCATGCTTACCAGACAGGCACTTTACCAACTGTCTCAGGAACAAGTTTCTTTTATTTCAGTGCCTAAGTCATTAGACATTCTGCATTGTAGCATCTTGACAAACTCATATTCTATGGAGATTTAGGAACAGAGATGTGGATGGATGACATCACTTCTGCTGAGGTGGGGATCATTTCTCTTTGGAAAGCCCAGATAAGTCTGGCAAATACTCTATCAACTACATACTGGTTATTTGCCAGGGGAGTGAATACTAAGGACAGGCGCAGTATTTCAGGAATGCACTAGGAACTGGTGTGTTACAGATGACTAAGTCATGGCAACTGACCTGGGGAGTGTTACATATTGGCTGGAGAGGGATTTGCAAAGAAGGTAGTGGATGCATTGTTACATGTGATATGATAGCCAGGAAAACAGGTTTATGGAAAGATACTGTAATGGCAGCAGGGAAGGACACATGGGAGGGGAGCAGGAAGTGTCTTTCACAGAAGAGGCATTCAGACATGATCAGGAGCATTCAGGTGGCATGGCCACAAACAAGGAAAGACATTTATCCTGGCAATGGCATGAAGGTTGTATAGCAAATGAAGAGTTCAGAGAGAGAAGGGAATTAATTGTTTCAAAGGTGAAGCAGAAAGGTTAGTTGGCTACTGAGTTCCATTTCTGTCCCACAAGTAATATTTTTAATCAGTTAATTACAAATAATATATTGTTTAAGGGGGAAGAGAATATCCAGTGGTTAAAGATATTGCTGCTTTTGCAGAGATTTGGTGCCCAGTACCCACATGGTAGTTTTAACTCCAGTTCCTAGGTACCTGCATCCTATTTTGGCATGTGTGGACAGCAGGCATTCACATAGTGCACATACATAACTGCAGGCTAAATATCATCCATATAGGAGCAAATCAATATATCAAGTGTGTGTGTGTGTGTGTGTGTGTGTGTGTGTGTGTGTGTGTGTGTGTATTAGTTAAACGTAATGGTTATAAGTGATAGAAACCCAACCTACATGGCTTAGAGGAGAAAAGAAACTTACAGCTTGCCAACTCAAGAATGTATTGGTTAGTTACACCATAAGAGATCAAGGTACAGGTGGACCTTAGGATATGTGAGGCTCGAATATCATCTGGAGTCCTTCTGGGTGTCTTCCCCCATGCCCAATATAGCTTGATTGAATTTGTTTTCCCTGAGCATTGATTTTCTTTACATATCAGAAAACATGAGCTCTTGTTATAATTCCTGTATTTTTTTTTTTTAAATTTAAGATCCCTATCCTTAAAGAGATTGGCTATTCAGTCTGTAATTTGAAGAGTCCCGTGAATGAGGTTAAGTGCCACCACAAGACCAGTCAAAAGAATGAGGGATAAGAAGGTGGTCAACAGGAGACAAGGGTGAAGATTAGGACAGAGCGCTGATGCTATCATGGTGACTATATAATCAACAACAGACTATTCCAAGAACTTGGTGCCTGGGCAGATAAACAAAGTCATATGTCTCAGTTAGTAAGTGATGGATGTATGCCACATTCAGGTACAGGAGATGGGGATGTGGTACAGTGCCCAGTTTTTTTCTCACAAGGTTATCATGAGGGAAAAAAATGACTGTTGGGTGACTTGCTCCTAAACATCCAACTCCTTGTGTAATTTCTTGTGTCAGCAATTTCATACAGCCCTGAGGCTGAGGTGGCTTGGCATCTTCTAGCCTCTTTGATTGTGACTCTTATCTTTGAATGACTCCTCTGCATTTTAGATTTGATTCTCTCTCCTTACAGTGGACCGACCAGTTGGATTATGTTCTTCAGCTGTGAAGCACAATTGTCACAATTGGATTGAGGCCAGCCCTCAAGGTAGCAACTGAAAGGGTGGAGATTTCTCCCAGTGATGATAAACTACAGGGACCTCATTAAGCAACAAAGCCTAGGGGGAATATTCAGGACATGACATTTAGATCATTCTCTGGGCTTTTGGGAGTTCCCTCCATTTCTAGCAAGGCACAACTCCAGTATCTATAAGGCAGCTTAGCTTCCAAGGGAAGATATCAAGTTATACCAGGATAGAGAATCTACATTTAACAACTTAAGTGAGTCATATCCCTGACAAGATACTGAGAGGTCTGAATCATCCTTAGTTCTGGAGCAATCCTTAGAAACCTGTTTCACTTGGAAAATAATCATATAGTAATAGAGCTATGCTATACATGGATATATTATTTTTTTAATTGTCTGGGATCTCTTATTACTCGATTTTAAAGACCACAATGGTCTTGTGGAGCCTGCACAAGTGGTGCTGCTATAGTACATAAAGAAGTAGATTCAGAGAAGTTCATGCATTGACTGGAACCACATCTAATCATAACACTTGGCTCTTTCTCTTTGTTATCTTCATCAGTCTTCAGCTTGGTTGTTACCCCTGAAACAAGCCATTGGGGGGAGGGGGGAGGATTTGTCTGTTTAATGTATTTGAGTATTTTGTCTGCATGTTTGTTTGTACACCACATATGTGGCTGGTATCCAGGAAGTCAGAAGAAGGCATCGGATTCTGAGAGCCTGGAGTTACAGATGATTGTGAGCCACCATGTGGGTGCTGGAAATTGAAACCAGGTCCTCTGCAAGAGCAAGAAATGCTTTTAACCACCATGCCATCTCTCTAACCCTGATTATTGAATTTTTAAAGTATGATTCTGGACTTACCAATATGATTGATTATATGCTTATGTTCATTTTTTTTTAAAATCTTCAAATTATTCAAATATCTTCTCAGGGTCACTTCATGTCCTTTTCACATGATTCTATAGACCTTTGAAAATTTCTTTCCCCATGAAAAGATGCTACAGATTCATCTTGCACATTTCCACCCCAGAACTAAAATAAGCCTTTACTTCAAGGAACACCTTTCCAAGGCAGTGGAGTTGAGGCAGCCTAGGCTGCCTGCCACACACCACCTTGGTGTCTTGGAGAGAGAAATGGTATTTGGTAGTCAATTAATCAACTATCATTTGTTGTAGTGCTTGTGGTGAGAACAGGGGAGGATAGGAGGGTGCTGGAACTGGGATTGACATGTAAAACAAGCTTGTTTCAAATTTAAATAACACACACACATGCGCGCGTGCGCGCGCGCGCGCACACACACACACACACACACACGCATACAATCCTAGCATCTGGGAGACAGGGCTGAATTGTAAATTCAAGGCCAGTTCCATAATAAACCCAGCTTACATAATGATACATAGTCTCAAAAACAAATGAACAATAAGAAGAGCTAGCCATGTGGTCTTACAGTGTTTAGAAAAGTGACTTTCTTTTTGAGAGAGTCTCTTTATGTTCCTGGATGGCCTGAAACTCACTACATAGACCAGGCTGGCCTCAAACACACAGTGATCTACACGCCTCTGCCTCCTCAGTGCGGATTGAAGGTGTGTGGTCCCATCCATATCCAGCTCATAGTGTATAAATGATCCATACAGCAGGACAATGAGTCAAGTGGGCTAGCTGGTCATTATGTGGCTACAATCTGTATCAATCCACCTAGCCTGATTTTTCTAACTTAGGATTCATTTGTGCCTCAAATATTTATAAATTAATATACATTCAACCAGAATGTGTGTAGAGTCCTAGAGACACACAGAGACAGATGTAAAAGCTTATGGTGAGTGGAATGATAGGGAGAACTGTGAAGTCCTATCTTTGTCTCTTCTGGGACCAAATAAATAATGACACATTGTAGTCAAGTATGAATTGCAATTTTTTTTTTTTATTCAGGTAGAGCAATTAAGAGGCCATGGCTATGGTACTACAGATTTAAGGCTCTGTCTGGTAAGCCTTCTTGGCCTTAGTGACCTATTGCCCAGGAAAGAAAGCTACAAATCACTATTCTTGTATCTTCAGAGGCATCTAAGGGAGGAGAGAATTCTGGGATGTTAGATTAATTCATCAATACACCAAGTCCACTTTTTTTCCAGGCTTGTGAGTAGTATTCCAGGTGCCACCAGAAGAAGAAAGAGCTGTTGTTTCCCATGAATGGAAATAAAAAACCAGTATTTAAGTATTTAAGAAAATCAAAAGCTCTGCATTCCAGGACACCAGGTGCTGTAGATTGGATTACCACATTCATTGCTTTATGCATTACCCTAAATATTGCCGAGAGGGTAGTTGTTGGCTTGACACACTTCTTGCTTATTCAGCTTGATGTTCAGCTCATGAGAAGTGGTCAGAGCCTCTACTGGCACCATAATTACACTTAGAGCCATGTTATCATGTTTCCTCTCTCCATGGAACACAAACTTAGAAAGGAGGACCATTTGCCTGTTCCATTTATTACTCTATTTTTATCCCATTGGTCAATCCTCAAATAATGTTTATTAATTGTTAATTGATTTCACATATTTGTTCCATAGTAACATTGATCTGTGTAGGTTCTTGGGAGACCAACCTTTTTCTGTTGCCTGGCTCACATATGGAAAGTATCTATGACTGTAATATATCAGTCAGAATAAATCATGCTATGATGCATAATAAGTATCTGGATGCCCATAATCTATAAAAACACACTTTTGATTCTTGCTCTCACTACTTTACAGCCCAGGTCAGGTGATTTGGATGATGGGACAGCTGTTGTTTGAAGCACTGAAGGAAAGTGTAGAGGAGAGCAGTGCACACACACGCGTGTGCGTGTGTGTATGTGTGTTGCTTAATGGAAATGACATACATCATCCTGAGGCAGGATAGAAAGGAATGAAAAATGATGGAGACTTAGGAAGGAAAAGGAACCATTCACTCCAGTGTCTGGCTGGAACCTCAGCTGAGATGTATGAATTGTAACACAATTAACAACATACGTAGTAATACTTTTTTTTGGGAGATATTTGCTGGTTAGTACAAGCTGAAGCTTCCCCATGGCTTGGCAGCTTATTTCAATGGCTTGGCAACACAGGACTCCCTCCCTCTAGCAGAACTTACTTACTTTACCTTTATCTGGAGAATGTCCCTGGGCCTGGAGGACTGACCTTATCTGAAAGTTGTTTCTAAACCAGATGCCTGATTACTCTTTAGATTGATCCTTGGCACAGATACCTGATAGGAAGACTTGTATTCCGATCTCTGTTATAGGAACCTACTACCACATACAAGGTCTTATGATAGGAGCATGCCACTTAATGCAATTTAGGATTTGTCCCCGGGCTCTCCAATCCTATATATTCTTTATACCCTGGAATAGAATTGAGCTGAATCACCAAAATCTATCTCTTGGAGAGCTGTCTCCATTCATGCTCATGGGCCATGTACACAAAGCTTTCTGCTTGCCCTTTCTGCCTCTTTCCCCTCTCAGATGGATGGCCCACAGGCTGAGAGAGAAAGAATACCCCCACTTATTTTATGTTGAAGTAGCAGTAAACCAAGCTAATGGCCTGAATGCATATTATTAAGATTGCATTCTTCCCTTAGACATTATCTGGGAATCTCAAGACTGTTCACTGTAGCGATACTCTGCCTTGCTGCACCCCCTGGGTCTAGCCCAGTGCTTCTCAACCTTCCTAACACTGTAACCCTTTAATACAGTTCCTCATGTTGTGGTGACCACAACCATAAAATTACTTTAGTGCTACTTCATAATTATAATTTGCTACTCTTATGAATCATAATGTAAATATGATATAAATCTAAAGTATGACTTCCTAAAAGGGTAGCAACCCACAGGCTGAGAACCATGGGTACAGACTTTTACCTTGTCCATTGTAATGCTGCCAAGTGCCTCCTTAGACCCTCCCTGTAATCTCATCTGGGTTTCCTGGGACTCGTTAAAGCATCAGGACCTAGCAAGGTGGCTAAATGGGCAAAAGCATTTGCCACCATCTGACAACCTGAGTTCTAGCCCTTGCACCATGATAGAAAGAGAAACTGACTCACCTAGCTTGTCCTCTGACCTCCACACCCATACCCTAGGCACACATGCCCCCAAATAAATAAATAGATAAATAAATAAGATAAAGAGAATGGTTCCAGACTCACCCACAGGGTGTGTGAGGGTTTTGGAAGATGCTGGTGTGGGGCTCCCTGTTTGACAAGCCCACACCCATGTTCTCAGGAGTGCCTCATTTTCTTCCCAGGTACCACCTTTCCCTTAACTTTCATGCTTCACGTACATATTAAAAATTCCTTTTAGGGCCTGGGAAGATATCTCAGCCAGTGAAGTGTGTGCATTTATGTTACCCGAACAAATAAAGAAGCTGAGTATGGTGGTATGTACTTATTCCTGGCACTGGGGAGTCAAGAGACAGGTGGATCCCATCAGCCAGCCTAGACTACTTAGTGAGCTTCAGGAAAGTAGAGATTTTTGTCTCAAACAAACAAACAACCAAAAAAACAAACCAAACAAACAAACAAACAAAAACCTAAGGTGGATGCCACCTGAGGAATGACGCCAGAGGTTGTCCTCTGCCTTTGGAACACACACACACACACACACACACAGAGAGAGAGAGAGAGAGAGACAGAGAGACAGAGAGAGAGAGAGAGAGAGAGAGAGAGAGAGAGAGAGAGAGAGAGAGAGAGAGAGAGAGGAGAGAGTCTTTTAATGCCTTTCAACTCTGCTTCATGCTGGTTTCTCATGAATTCTTATCTACACTGACTCCATGAATACAGTTTAATGACTAATAGAATGCCTTTGGCTTCTGTGAGTGACAGCTTCGAGCCCTGTTTCTAACCTTGCTATGCACCTCACAGCTCCAGATAAGAGCAGCTCATTAGCTAAAATGCCCTGTATAGCCTGAGAGAAAATTCTACCCCTTGGTGTGGGATGAATAGCCAGGTAATAATTAATTTTGGTGTTTTACCAAAATGTTCTAGGTTCATTCAACTTCTAGAACTTTTTCATGATAGAATCTAAGAGTGCCTGCCTAGAGAGGCAAGCAATTACAAGCAATTAGAATTAGGACTTATTGTGTCCTGGTGAAAAAGGGGTG